CAACAATATAATGATTGGATGTCAACCTTATAGAGAAAAGACATAAAATATGGACAATAATAGTGCAATATGTCAAATAAAATAATATATTCTCATATGAAGTATACAGAAAATTGGTAGAAGGACGAACTCACACTTTCCAGAGCTGCTAAGAGCTCTACTGTATAGCGCCTGGACGGTATAATCCCCGTTTTAGGATATGAGATCAATGATGAGGCGTCGCTTCTAAGTCTCCACAATAGTACATAAAACAGAAAACATAGATAAAATCCAATAGTGCAGTATATCTGGTGAATAATGTATAGTAGAGAAGGTAAGTATCTTACTTACAATTTCCAGAGCAATGAACTTGCTCTGGTGATGAAAGCTTGAGGTGGTATAATCCCCACCTGAGGATTTGGGAAGGGTCCAAGGTGCACCAGGAACAGAAGATATATGAGGGAGCAGAGTAAAAATTAAAACTATAAATTTATTGTAAAATAGTACAAAATATATAATGTATGACAGTAATATAATCAATAATAAGTCTCTAGCTCCAACTTGACGCGTTTCGCCCTAAACAGGGCTTCCTCAGAAGTTCTGAGGAAGCCCTGTTTAGGGCGAAACGCGTCAAGTTGGAGCTAGAGACTTATTATTGATTATATTACTGTCATACATTATATATTTTGTTCTGAGGAAGCCCTGTGCAGCCGCGGCACAAATTGAATTGGAGTTTCATTCATTCGAATGAAATTCCGATACGAACAAAGTGCCGAATTGAGTTCTAAAACAAACGAACATACTGTTCTCATTCAGTTAGAATGCAATTTGGCAGTTTCGTCTAAAATGACAGGAAGCATCGCGAGATCACAGAGGAAGGGTAAGAATTATGGGAAAATTGCTCTGACCAGCGGAAATGAAGCACACTTTGCTCCTCCGCTGGTCAAAGCTGGTCAAGCAGAGGAAACCTCCATAATGCAAAGAGTCCCTACTTTGTCTTATGATTTTAAAGAAAACTAAAGAAGACAGGAAGAAAAGAAGAACAGATCCTGAGAGAGGGAGAGAAGAGGAAGAGATTGAGGAAAGGTAAGTTCGGCATGATAGTGCCGCTTTAACCCAAAAGTAATTGTTGCGGAATTAGAAGTATCCAGAAGGAAATTCAGTTAAATTCACTTAGAGAATATTCACTGAAGTCCGCTTTAGTAAGAGAGTGGTTTTGTATAATTATTTACCTCGTAGGAATAATTATAAGTCTTTAGCAGTAGAGTTGGTCTTGAAGTTCAAGGTCAGGAGTGGATAGGTAGGCAGAATCGAGGTTACAAGCTGAGGTTTAGAACACACAGTCCTGGGAGTTCAAGTCCTTACAAAGACTTTCCCTGACAAATACTCCACAAGCTGGAACAAGGAGCTAAGCAGTGATTTTTTCATGAGGTAGATGCGAGCTGAACGGACAGTGTGGCTACATCTAAGGTGTGACACATTACCTACCTGGTTGAGATTGCAGTTTGCAGAGGGATTAAGGCGAGGTTGTGTATATACACACACATACACATACATACATGTTTTATAACTGCCCCCCTAAAAATAAATCCTAGAGACGCCACTCGGAGGGGGGTGTCATAGTGTGTGGAAGGGGGTGACCTAGTGTTTATATTTCGTCTGCTTATTTGCAATGCTTGCCTGGGCTTTGAGTTGTCAGAACTGGATTGTAATGCCATTTTCTAAATCTTTAATATAAATTTAAAAGAAAACTCATGTAAAATAGGTTAACACGAGTCATAGACAAATTGTTTTTCCAGAATAGTGACAGTTTCTCTTAAGGATTGCACACCGTCACATGACTATGATATAATTTGTGATCACATATACATCACAACACATAACATAAACATCACAGTCCAAAAATAATTGCAGAGCATAATATGGCGTGAAATGAGGTGTCGCATTTCAGAAATAGCAAAGGAAATAAAATTTAATAAACTGAACAGTCGAGAAACAGCTGCCTAATAATAGAGGGCAGAATGGAATGATAATAAATATGTTAACCCTTTTCAATAATGACAATAATATAAAAAGAAGAAATGTTAAACTTCCTAGCTTTTATATCCTGCTAGGCAGCATCTGCCTTACTATTCCTGTGGCAAGCAAGATAATACTGTTAATTATACTGTGCTATACATAAAACTCCCTTTTCAGATTCCTGTCGCACGCACAGAGAGATGCAAAGTCACTTTCCAGCTTGTGATAAAGGCCATGGTCTGGTTTATCAATGTTCTCAGAATGTATATATTGTCACGGATCGTGACGTCCAGCAACTGCAGTTTGGGGTTGGCACATCCTCTCTCCATTCTCCCACTCAGAGAAAGAACTTTTATAGTGTTTACAAAGACTAGTGAGAATCCAAGTGAATTTAAGATGATTTTCAAATCTTAGGCCAGAGTAGCAGAACTGAAAGCATAACAGACTGTGCATAAAACTTTACCCTAAGAAAATTACTATCTATACTAATATAAATATTAAGGTACAAAATACAAACTATTGCATAGTGATAACTATGTGTCATTATTTTACATTAAAAACACTACAATCTGGAAGCGTGGGCTTGGTAGCGTGCTTGATATCTGCTTGCGCTTGTAGCTCCATGACAAATGGATGAGTTTAAGTCCTATTTGGACAAGACATACATTTCCCATAGTTCACAGAAGGTTATGGACGAGATAAAGGTGCTTGGGCAAAAGATCTCGAGTCCAGGGTTGAAGACCTAGTCATCACCCAGAACTCCCTCTGCTACTTTAAATATTTAGCCTTTTGCTCTCCTGGTTTCGTGAAGATAAATGGGTGATCAATTGGGCAGATAGAGCTCTCCGAGCCTGTCAGATGGCTAGAGAACAACTGCATGATTTAATTGTGCAGTTCCATTACTTTTCTAAGGAGGCCATCCTATGGATGAGCTGTGATACCACTATTATTTACCAGTCTACAGTTGTACTTAGATATATGTTCTGCTATCCTGCAGAAGTGCAAGATTTGGAAGTCTATGGTAGATTAATACAAGAGCACAGAGTGCACTTTACCTGGGGACACTCTTACAAATTATTGGCCTTTGACAAAGGCAAGGCTCTGGAATTATTGGCCATGAATGATTTAGGGAAGCTTCTTCAGGCAATTGAAATTATTCCCTTAGTGTACTTCCCCTTGCCAAAGTCCACTTGCTGAATTTACTGCGACTGTCCTGAGAGGGGCACTCTGTAGAGGAAGTCTAGTCCATAAGAAGATGAGGACTTAAACTCCATAAGAAGATGAGAAAAGGAACCTGCCATCTGGAGAGGACTCTCCGCATCACTTCACAATTTTGATGACCATTCTATGGTGTTCCCCTGGGCTTTGGAAGATAGTTTTTTCACAAGGGAGGTGGAGGACACATTGGCTGCCTTTTCCTTGATATTATCTGTTAAGGGTTTCCTCCTGCCACTATGCCACATCCTTATCAATGTTCGTTTTCCATGGCCACCATGTTTTGAAGTTCTATGTGCCTGTTTCCAAATTTTTTGTTACAGGCCTTGGCTTCTGAAGAAAGACATTTCCATGGATGGCCGTCCTATTCTTGCCTTCATGTGTTCTATTTGTTCTTTCCTCTTTCTCATAAGGGCCTGGTCTTTTACTTCAGTATAGTGGCCACCTTCTTTGTGCTGGAACTTGGACATTTGCATATAGTAAAGCCACATTTTGGTTAGCCTCTTTGATGTCTCCTTTGACAAGATGGTTCTTTAGTCAATGATAAGTCACTATATTCTATTCCTATGCAAAACAGGGTTTTCCACATATTTATTTTGGTAATTCTGCTGTCCTGTGTTCCAATGGTAAGGTATATACCACTTGTTTGATTTTTTGAATAACTCTGTAGATATCTGGGCGGTAGAGTTTTTCCCCTCTCTCTGTATGGTAATGGTGTAAAGAGGAGGTAGTTAGTGAGCCCGTGCTTATATGTTATAAGAGTCATTGGAATAAGCCTTTTTATGTGTATACATCTTCGTGTTCATTCTTCACTGACCACCGTGATATATTTCTGTATAACCCAAAAATATTAATATTCAATCTGAAGTTCTTTATAAAAAAAAAAACAAAAAAACATTTTATTACAATTTATTCTACTCGCAATGCAAACTGCAATACATACGTAAAAATGTAACAGATGGTAAAGCTTAACGATGTTACAGAGAGAGAGAGAGATCTTTGTTCAGAAAGTCAGGGAGTCAAGAGAATAGTAGTAGAACATGGTCCTATGTATACTGTACTTTTATAGTAGATACATACTGGATACAGCACTCATCAAATAACCCAGGTGCTCTGAAGCCAGGGCTGGCTAGGCCTCCCTTCCAAGATATGCAGAATATCTTGATAAAGACCCGGTAGGGTCGAAACGTTGCTGCTTTAGCCCCAATAAAGCTGCTATTTTTGTTATCCCGGAGTGCCTGAACCGTTATTTATTATGCATACTGTACTTTTATAGACATGACTTTAATGATGTCAGAACTATTAGCTAAAACTCTGGCCATATAAGGACACATATGAAGACCCTCGACTCTCAGTCCTCTCATTATACACCCACATTCTAGACTTCTCATGGTACATCATAACAAATTGCCATCTGTTCTTTCTAACCCATTAGACATCCATACCTAATATGAACAGGAACATGGAATATATAACATTCTACAGTATGTTTACTTGATTCTAGGTATCTACTTTCTTTATGGAGTTTGTCTTTTTTTGTTTCTTGCTTTTTTCTTTTCTGTTTGGATTTGGAAAATTGGTATTCCTGTCTGATGTAGTGGATTGGGGAAGTTCTCTTAGTTAAGATGAATATTGTCCATCGCATTCTGTTCTTTTCCAGTCTGTAACAAGGGTACAGGACCGAAAGACATATCACACTTATAAATGGGGCACTCTGTTCGTGTGTACAACTCGTACCGTGGTGGATATTTTATTATTTTATTTTTTATTTCATTTTTCTGTTTCAGGCTCTCTTGGATCTGGCGGTTCCTGTATAACATATGTGCTGTTTCATATGTCATTTTGCACTTGGACTTTAATTGAAGAATTAAAAAAAAAATCTACACAACTTAAAAAAACATCACTCACATCACAGTGGACAAAGAGAACAATATGGCCCTGCATTAGGATGTGCCTGGGAACACCTGGAAAACCTCTTGTACACACCTACACTTTGGTTACATTAATTCTTGTAACTCTTGTTTTGTTAATTACAGATTAACAGACATACAAGGCAGAATACAGGATGCATTTATTTCAGCAAGAGTCATTTGCGCCACCTGGTGGTTATTTGAAAAACATTGCTATGGTTTATGAATTATGACAACAACAGGTACTTTGAGTGTAGTGAAGTTGTACCTTGAACTTTCCCAGAGGTGTCACCAGGGCCGGCCTTAGGGGTGTGCGAGCTGTGCGACCGCACAGGGCGCCATGGAACAGTGGGCGCCCTGTGGCCGACACAGCTCACTCATGGCCGGAGTGCAGGGGAGCTTCTCCACCCGGGTCTATTTAAAAAAAAAAAATAAAAAAAAAATCGCGGCAGAGGGGGCGGGGTTTACCGAGCGGCGGAGGCGGGGCTTATCGAGAGGCGGAGACGGGGCTAATACCTCCCGAAGCCCCTGCTGTACAGGAAGAGGGAAAGATGCTTCCCCATCAGCCAACTGCATCCACTGGAAAGAGGTAAGTGTGTGTGTGTGACTGTTTGCCTGTTTGTGTGACTGTCTGTCTGTGTGTGTGTGTGACTGTCTGTCTGTCTGTGACTGCCTGTCCTTGTGTGTGTGTGTGTGTGTGACTGTCTGTCTCTGTGTGTGTGTGTGACTGCCTGCCTGTGTGTGACTGTCTGTGTGTGTGACTGTCTGTCTGTGTGACTGTCTGACTGCCCGTGTGTGTGACTGTCTGTCTGTGTGACTGTCTGTCTGTGTGACTGTCTGTCTGTGTGACTGCCTGACTGTCTGTCTGTGTGACTGTCTGTCTGTGTGACTGCCCATGTATGTGACTGCTGTCTGTGTGTGTGACTGCCTGTGTGTGTGACTGTCTGTCTGTGTGACTGTCTGTCTGTGTGACTGCCCGTGTGTGTGAGACTGTCTGTCTGTGTGACTGTCTGTGTGTGTGACTGTCTGTCTGTGTGTGTGACTGCCTGTGTGTGTGACTGCCTGTATGTGCTGCCTGCCTGCCTGTGTGTGTCTGTCTGTAACTGTCTGTGTGTGACTGCCTGCCTGTGTGTGTGACTTTCTATCTGTGTGACTGCCTGCCTGTGTGTGTATAACTGTCTATGTGTGTGTTACTGTGTGTCTGTGTGTGTGTGTGACTGCCTATGTGACTGTCTGTCTGTGTGTGTCGCTGTAGCTGTGCCATTGTTTGTGCCTGTGCCTGTATGTGTGACTGCCTTTAACTGAGTGTGTGTGTACATGCCTGTAACCGAGTTTAAATTTCCCCCACCCCTTCCTGTCAAGGCCGCACTTTGACTGACAGACGCTCACTCACTGACAGACGCACACTCACTGACAGACACACACTCTCATATACACTGACAAACAATGACATACACACATACACTATTACTTGGACACACACTGACAGATGCACACTCTCACTGACAGACGCAAGCACTCACTGAAAGATGCACGACTCCACTGACCGACACACACTCACTGACCGACACACACTCACCTACACACTCACTGACCTACACACTCACTGACCGACACACACTCACTGACGACACATACACACTCACTGACGACACATACACACTCACTGACTGACACATACACACTCACTGACTGACACATATACACTCACTGACCAACACACACATTCACTCACAGACACACACACATTCACTTACAGACACACACAATTACACACTTACAGACACACACACACACACACACACATTCACTTCAAAATAAACACTCACAGACACACACACAGACATTTCCACTAACACTCACAAACTAATATTTTTTACATTTATTTTAAATCCACCCAGCCTCCCTGGGAAAGCTGGAGTGGATTTCTTACCAGCAGTCCAGTGTGGCTGCTGGGCAGGCAGGCAGGGGGCGCACAGGCTGAGTAAGCAGCGCTTAGTGATGCCGGGAGCCGGACTGACGTCATATTCTGGCTCCCGGCTTCATTAAGCGGCGCAGAGGAAGCTGAGCAGGAAGAGCTCAGGTGAGTATGCTCCTTCGCTGCCCGCTGCCAGCCTTGGGGGGGCTCAAAAGTGGCCAGCCGGTCAGCTCTTGAGCCCCCCAGGATGCGAGGCAAGCAAGGGATCTGCCTGGGGGTTTGGAGGGATGCTTTTTTTTGCCGCCCCCTGCAAAGTGGCGCCCAAGGCAGATGCCTTGTTTGCCTCGTGATACACACGTCCCCGGTGCCTGTGTGTGTTACTGTATTCAGGCAACTTGGTGGGAGGTGGGGGGGGGGGCGCCGTGAAGACTTTTTGCACAGGGCGCCTAATTGCCTAAGGCCGGCCCTGGGTGTCACCTTACTTTCTAAGTCTTTCAAGAACTAATCACAGATCTACACATTTACAAGGCATGATATGGAATCTATTTTTTCAATAAGAGTTATTTGTGCCACCTAGTGGTTATTTGAAAAACTGTTACCGTTGTGCTCAAAAGTTTGCATACCCTTGCAGAAATTGTGGAATTGTGGCATTGATTTTGAAAATATGACTGATCATGCAAAAAAAAGTTTAATTTCTCACAACTATGGCTTTTTAACTCCTTAGTGACCAGACCGTTTTTCAATTTTCTTACCGTTAAGGACCAGGGCTGTTTTTACATTTCTGCTGTGTTTGTGTTTAGCGGTAATTTTCCTCTTACTTTTTTTCAAAATGAACGCAAGTTACATTGTAACACTGATATCTGTCAGGAATCCCTGAATAACACTTCACATGTATATATTTTTAAAAAGAAGACAACCTAAGGTATTAAACTTGGGGTATTTTGACTCTTTTCATGCAACCATTTTAATCTATGCCAAATTTAAAATTGGTGATTTTTTCTAACACACATAGCAATTTAAGAATACATGTACATGTACGGTTACTGCCAAAGAACACCCCAAAATTTGTTCAGCAACATCTCCTGAGTACAGTGGTACACCCCATGTATAGGTGTGTTGGGTTCACTGGGGGCTAAAGTACCTTATTTGGAGGGTGCGCATTCCAGTTTTCCAACTTGGAATTTTCTCAGCTGGTCATCATGCACCCATGTCCTATTTGGGACATTTTTGAAGCCGGCCAATGTAATTTACCCCCATCAAACCATATATTTTTGAAAAGTTGACACCCTAGGGTATTTCAAATGGCGGTATTTTAACACTTTCCATGCACTAATTCTTTTAAACATTCTTTATTTATTTTTTTCACCTGTTCAGAAGCATTTTGCAACCATGGTGCATACATTTGTCTTATGATATAACATGTTTGACATTGTTATGTGAGTAGACAATTTGTCTAACTAGTTTCCAGCTTTGCTGTTGCATTAGTTGGGTGTTGATAGGTCGCACAATGGTACAAAAGTACAAAAATACACAAATACACAATCAAGTAAAAACATAAACAACTTAAACAACTTTTGGTCTCAGTGGTTGGGTGTTATGCTCGCGGGAAAGTTTAGTGTTTCTGTGCTATGGTTTTGGGAGACTGCTGGAGTCTGTTGTGGATTGGCCCCCTTGAGTTGCGGTTATTGTCCCCTCTGGGTTATTATTATTATTATTATTGCCATTTATATAGCGCCAACAGATTCCGTAGCACTTTACAATATTATGAAAGGGGATTTAACTATAAATAGGACAATTACAAATAAACTTACAGGAACAATAGGTTGAAGAGGACCCTGCTCAATCGAGCTTACATTCTATAGGAGGTGGGGTGTAAAACACATTAGGACAGGAATGTGCAATCAAATAAGGTGGGCTGCCCTTTAGGAGAGGGCAAGAGACGGGTATGTGAGGTAGGGGTTAGTCTTGGAGGCCATAAGCTTTCCTAAAGAGATGGGTTTTAAGGCACTTCTTAAAAGATGCAAGACTAGGGGAGAGTCGGATGGCGGTAGGCAGGCTATTCCATAGGAAGGGAGCCGCCCGCGAGAAGTCCTGCAAGCGCGAGTTGGCCGTACGGGTGCGGACAACGGACAGGAGGTGGTCACGGGCAGAGCGGAGAGACCGAGAAGGGACATACCTGTGGATCAGTGAGGAGATATAAGAGGGGCTAGAGTTGTTCAGTGCTTTATAGGTGTGAGTTAGTGCCTTGAATTGACTCCTATAGCACACAGGAAGCCAATGTAAGGACTGGCAGAGGGGTGAGGTGTGAGAGAACCGACTAGAGAGGAAAATCAGTCTAGCAGCAGCATTCATTACAGACTGTAGGGGTGCAGTACGGCTTTTGGGAAGACCAAGCAGGAGAGGGTTACAATAATCCATGCGTGAAATTATTAGAGCATGGACAAGCTCCTTGGTAGTATCTGGTGCAAGAAAGGGGCGGATGCGGGCTATGTTTTTAAGATGGAATCTACAGGATTTGGCAACATGCTGGATGTGAGGCTCAAAGGTGAGACCAGGGTCAAGTATGACGCCAAGACAGCGCGCTTGCAAGGATGGGCTGATGTTGGTACCACAAACTTGAAGGGAGAGCGAGAGAGGAGGATCAGTATTAGGAGGAGGAAAGACAAGGAGCTCAGTTTTTGAGAGATTGAGTTTCAGAAAGCGGGAGGACATCCAGTCAGAGATGGAAGAAAGGCAAGCAGTGACACGTTGCAGGACAGCAGGGGAGAGGTCCGGGGTGGAGAGATATAGCTGGGTGTCATCAGCGTACAGGTGGTAGTGGAAACCAAATGAGGTAATAAGTTTGCCAAGAGAGGCAGTGTAAAGAGAAAATAGAAGGGGACCAAGGACGGAGCCTTGGGGGACTCCAACCGAGACAGGGCGAGGGGAGGAGGTATCATTAGAAAAAGAGACACTGAATGAGCGTTGGGAGAGATAAGAGGAAAACCACGAGAGGACAGAGTCACAGAGACCAAGCGATTGCAGAGTTTGAAGAAGGAGAGCATGATCAACGGTGTCAAAGGCCGCCGAGAGGTCAAGAAGAATTAGTATGGAGTAGTGGCCTTTGGATTTTGCTGCCTGTTCGTCATGCGTATGGGTTTCCCCCTCTGAGCTCCCCTCCCCGTTGTGCCTCTGTTGGCCATTTATTGGGCCTGTGGCATAGCCAGGTTCGGCGGGTTCAGCGCCGGCTCACTCAGCCAAGGGTCCCAAATTTTGTGAAAGTGGCCTGACGTTTCATGGACTAGGGCTGAGATTCTGTCCATTGCTATGGCTTCCCTGGTTTTGCGGATGATTGTGGCTAAAGTGGGGACCTCCGGGGAGCC